CAAGCACATAAAAGTAGGGGCATGAAGAGTGTAGTGGGCACTTACATATTCATCACGCAGATTTGACAATTATTGATATTTTTCTCCTTCCTTTAAGCTATGCATTTGTAAAATTTTCATTGAAAGCATTTAAAAATATACTATCATTCGTTTTATTTCTATGTATTTCAGACTGCATCTTTAAGAAATACACACATTTTCTTTTATAACCATGACACCATTTGCACCCCTAAAAATTAATATTACTCAGAATCAAATTTCATAGGTTGTTTCAAAAATGCTTACTTACACTTGGTCCGTTCGATCGGGACTCCATGTCTTAGCTCGGGCGGCTGCAACAAAATACCATAGGTTGGGCGACTTAAACAACAAACATTTATTTCTCATGGTCCTGGAGGCTGGGGCGATCGAGGTGGCAGCAGACTGGGAGTCAGGCGGCCTCCCCCGTGCCGCGAGTGGGCAGCTCTCCATTCTCTTCCTCATCTTTTGGGGGCTCCAGTCCCACCGTGGGCCCCACTCGCACGGCTCCATCTGACCCTAATCACCTCCCAAAGGCTTTCCATCTAGAGGCTATCATGTTGGGGGTTAGGGCTTCCACACGTGAATTTTGGGGGGACACAAACTTTCAGGCTCTGACACTTCACAAACATCCCACACATGGCGTTTGTCTGCAATGTCTCCCTTTAACGTGGAGCACACCACCCTCTCCATGTCCTCGTTGCAGAAACTGGGTCAGTCGTCCTGCAGAATGTCCCATGTTCTGGATTTGTCCCTCGGCTTCCATATTCAGTCCTCGGACTTGTTCCTCTTCCCACCGTCTGTCCTGTGGGTGGAGGTTGGCGCTGGATGAATGATGAGGCTCAGGCTCCTCATGCTGCAGGAATATTCCACAGACGGCTCCGTTTGCTCCCTCTTGCCTGAGCTGGGGGCCCGTGACTTCTGTTCACCTCACCTTCAGTGATGCCAAGAGTCATCGTGGATTTAAGGGTAAAATGGCACAGAGTAATTGTTAAAGTCATGCATTAAAAAAACAATTTTTCTTCTTATTCCCAAAGCAACATATTAATTGTAGAAAATTTACAACATACAGATAAGCAAAAAAATAAAACCATCTTTAGATAAATGCCATTAAAATTTTGGTGTAGATCCTTCTAGTATTTCTTCATAATTATTTTATACTCACCTCTTTCCACTTGCAATACACAGGGAATATTTTTTAATGCTTTTAAATATTCGTTTACGATGTCATTGGCTGTCTAGGAGTCCTTGCATGGCTCTGTAAGAATCTAATTAATCGGCTACTTTTGTAGGTGTCATGAAAATTGCAAACCCACTGCTTAAAATGCTCATTCAGATTCGGCCTGAGACCACTCTGAGAGCACATGACAAGTGCTTATCCATCTGCGCCCTGGGGTGGCTGCTCTTCTCTTCTGGAGGTCGGGGCGGGAGGAAGGGAGAGGGCCGTAGATTGGTGCCGTGGAAAGTTTTCCTGAAGTGTTGGAATATGTTTTCTTTGTCTTGCTAAATAATCTACCTTGTTCTGTGCTTAAGATCCCACTGCACAGTCTAGCGGCTGGTTTCACGTGCTCCCTAAGTCCTTGCTCCTCAGAGGGTGGCCAGGATCAGGGTGTCAGTGTCGTCTGGGGGGCTCTGTGGAAACGCAGCACCTCAGGTCCTGCTGAGAACCCTGTGTCAGAATCTGTATTTTCCTCAGATCCCCAGGACTAAAGTGTGAGCCACACTGTTCTAAAACACTTAATGCGTGGAAAAGCTGGCTCATTTTGTGTTGCACGTGGGGCAAACATGCTAGATGCAGCCACAGAACAGCTCCTCCTCTTGGGCTACCTGGGTGTGGGTGCTTCCCAAGGAGGGAGGACAAACCTGTGCCATGTCCTGAGTCTCGAACAGGTGAACTTGGCCGTGGCGAGGGCCTGGAATTTGGAGTTCAGGCTGAATCTTCAGGATGGTGCGACTCTAGGTAAGTTATAAGTGATCTAATCTTGCCTTTCTCCTTGGTATAATGGAGATCATATTTCTTATTTCACAGGGATGGTCTGAGGTTTAAATAAAATCATGTATATGGAGCTCTCACCACAGTGCCTGGCATGTTGCAAGTGCTCAGTGAATGTCTGCGATCGCTATTAATTATCTCCCAAATACTAAGTTTTATGAAGCTGCATTGAGACCAAAGGTCACTTGACAGCTATTATTTTGGAGAATACTTTGCTAATTGGGACAGCTAATACTTAGGGGAATACTTTTTTTTTTTTTGAGACAGAGTCACGCTTTGTTGCCCAGGCTAGAGTGAGTGCCATGGCGTCAGCCTAGCTCACAGCAACCTCAAACTCCTGGGCTCAAGCAATCCTGCTGCCTCAGCCTCCCGAGTAGCTGGGACTACAGGCATGCGCCACCATGCCCGCTCTTTTTCTATATATATTAGTTGGCCAATTAATTTCTTTCTATTTATAGTAGAGACGGGGTCTCGCTCTTGCTCAGGCTGATTTCGAACTCCTGACTTCGAGCAATCTGCCCACCTTGGCCTTCCAGAGTGCTGGGATTATAGGTGTGAGCCACCGCGCCCGGCCTGACTTTGGGAATACTTTTAAGACTAATATTGAAAGTAATGTAGAACTTTTTCCTCACAATTTCAGCTACAAAAAATGTCACTGTTGACTTCAGCTGCTGGTTCCATGTACAGAAAGCGAGAAGGCGTTTTAGGTTCAACATATCCATGTCGTGCTTGGAGCAACGACCCACGAGTTACCCTACACTACTATCTTATTCTCTCACTCAAGTGAAGAATAAAAACACCCCTACCTCCCCCAAATCCCCAAACTTCCCATAACTCTTTAAAAAAAAATTCTTTCTCTTTAATACACACTGAGGTTTAAATATGCTTTGATTCCAAAGAGATTGTATTAACAAAGAACCTTCGATCTTTCAAACCATCTGTCTAGTTCAGTTCAAGAGTGTTCTGCAGGCAGCCGCGCAGCAAAGCAAGTCTCCATGAGTTACACCGTACCGCTTTTCGAAGTGGATGAAATAAAACTACTACCAAATGTAACGTGCACTTTTTTCAACCCCTAAAATAAATATTTGTAAAAGCAAGCCTTGGTGGCACGAAGACCATGGTGATAGAGGATTAATATGTGATAACATGTTTCTTAAAGATGGATCTCCTGACAATTAGAGGTCGAATTCTTATCCTGGGATGGAGCCAGGGTGAGTGAAATACTTTCGGTAGCTAAGTGCTCCCACGACACGAGGGAAACACATTCTCTTGGGGGCGTTATTTACCTCCAGGGAAAGGACTCAGTCCTGTTGCCATTTGTAAAAATAAGTTTACCTTCTATGAATAACCCCTAAACTCTCTGAATTCCCTAAAGCAGGGGAAGTATCATCCTAAATTATCTTAACCTCAGAAAGCATGAGCACCCTCATCACGCCTGTGGCCGTTCTCCTCTTAAGACATTTTCCTGCTTCAAGTTACTTGTGAGAATCTGGCATGTTCATTGTGAAATGAATCTGGGGACACTGTGGAGGAGATTTGCTCAGTGTGGTGTGATAAATACGGTGCGGGATTCATTCTCCTGCCCTTGGGCGGGTCTGGGCTGCTGTGTAGAGGTGGCGCGGGACCCACATGCCAGTCTCTCCTAAACCCTGGGCTCCACTGTCGCTGCGTCGCACAAATCCTCCTGCCGTGCAGGCCGTGGGCCAGCGTTTACTTCCCAGCGAAGGCAGCTGTGGCTCCTTTATTCCTTTTTCCTGTGAGGGACTGTGTTTTGAAAATCTGTGTGTGATCCTCATTGTCACAAGTTTAGAAACATTTAGAAATAACTTTCTAAAACATTTGCTTAAGCTTTGTGAAAACGAGTGAGGAAGCAGCAGCCCGAGGGCCGGGTCCCCTCGAGCCCGGCCCGGCGCGGAGCGGTGCACGGGGCTGCGTTTGGGGGGAGCGCTGCCCCGATCGCACTAACTTGCCGATGTCTCACCGGCAAGTTAGTCCGAAGAGCCTGGCAGGATGAATTTCTTGTGAATATTACTCAACCGCAAAAGTTTTTGTTTTGGGGTTTGTAATGAAGGCCATGAGTTGGGGAAAGTTGCGATTTTATTTTTAGACTACCTAGTTACAAAACAAAACAACCTCTCTTACGCTGACTGTTCAGTTGCCATGTCAGTAATAACGCTGTGTAAATATGGTTTGCCCCAAGTTCTTCTGGTGTGACAGGCCCCTTGCTTTTTTTTTAAAATTGTGGTCAAAGATACACAACATAAAATCTACCATTTGAGCCATTTTTAGTTGTGCAGTTCAGTGGCATTAAGCACATTCACACTGCTGTGCGACCATCACCACCGTCCATCCCCAGAACTCTCTTCATCTTGCAAAACGGAAACTCTGGGCCCATTGAATACTGACCCCCCTTTTTCCCTCCTCAGCCCCTGGCAAACCATGGTTCCGCTGTTTCTACAGTTTTTCACTACTGTGGGTACCTCATATGAGTGGAATTATACAGTATTTGTCTTTTTTGTGGCTGCCTTATTTCACTTAGCATAATGCCTTCAAGCTTCGTCCTGTGTTGTAGCATGTGCCAGGACATCCTTCCTTTTTAGGGCTGAATGATATTCCATTGCACGTATATCCCACACTTCGTGGGTTTGTTTATCTGTCAATGGACACAGTTTGCTTCCAACTCTTGGTTTTTGTGAATAATGCTGTTATGCACATACTGTTCAAGCTCCTACTTTCACTTATTTTGGGTGTATATGCAGAAGTGCAGTTGTCGGATCATCTGATGATGCTGTGTTTAATTTCCTGGGGAATTGTTTTCTTCGGTGGCAGCACCATTTTACATTCTTACCAACGCTTGTTATTTTGTTCTGCTTTTTTTAAATAACAGCCGTCCTAGTGAGTGTAAAGTTAGTATCTCATTGTGGTTTTTATTTGCATTTCCCTAATGACTTGTGTTGTTGAGCATTTTTCTCATGTTTTTATTGGCCATTTGTATATCTTCTTTGGAGGCATGTCCTTTGCCCATTTTTAAATCAAGTTGTTTGATTTTTTTGTTGTTGTTAGTTATTAGGCCCTTTGCTTCTGGACACCCAAGAAAGAGTGAAACAATTCCGTCCGTCAGTCAAGCAACAACTCCTGCGTGACCTTTGGGGGTCAGGCCTTGCACGAGGCCTGTGACGAACCCTTCCCAGAGGGCAATGCAGATGGCAGCCGCTAGTAATGGGACTTGGTATTTTCTTGCAGTTACCTGGAATTTACCAAGGGATTTTCAAGGAGCTGAGAACCAGGTTGTGGTAAGCAAAAGAGCAAATGCATCCCTGGGTAAATCAGTGAGGAAGACGCCCCCGACCAGAAAATGCCCCCTTCCCCTGGAACAGCGGCCGGCAGGGCCCCCACTTCTGTCTCTAGAGATGATCTAACTACTGGGAGGAAAGTAGTGCCCCTGGAACAAAACATACTTTGGCACTTACGGCTCTTCCAGATGAAAGCTTACTTTTTTTTTTTTTTAACATTTCTTTGAAACTGGGGACTTAACATGATTTAGGCTCGTGAAAAGCTATCGTTAACGTGCACTCTTCTTCAACCACTGCGTGGACCTTTACTCCACAGCTCTCTAAACACAGATAATTACCATGGTAACCACAGTGTTTCATGACTCTCATGCATACACTTACACCTTTCTTAAAGAAACACAGAACACAACAATGTAGAATTAAAACAGTAAATCATTGGAATGTTTTTTATTTGTTGTTACACAGCTGTCAGAATTTAGAGAAGAGCTGGACATTGTCATGCACTATCAATCGTACTTGGAAAACGTAGATGTTTGGCCAGGCCCTTTGACATCTTGCCAGAAAATAGGGTCTTGTTTGTAACACCGTGTAAGGAATGACCGATGGGTTTCCAGATTGTGAAGGTCAGAAGACTCTCAAAGCAGAGAATGTCATTAAGAGCAAAGTACTGAATAGTATGGATTTTTACATGACACATTCACTGGGCCAACTGTCTTCAGTTAAATTACAGTTATGATTACCCTAAAGTTGGTAAAAGTTTGGGCAAACATGCTTTTCTGGTAGCATCTAATTTTATCTTTGGTTGTATTTGGAAACATGCACAACAATTTTGTTGTGCCTTCAAAAGTCTCTCATTATTTTGGCTATGTAAACAAGTCTTTTATTGTCCTGTGCATACTTGATGAGCGGTCAGTAGAGTGAAACCCACACGATGCTTTCAACAAGAGTCATCTCCACACAGCTTCTGACTAACGGCAGCATTTGGGCTTTGGAGACGTAGCAAAGCCAAGACCCACAGGCTGGAGATAAGTAATTGCAAATGCCTCTAGCAAGCCGCCTCTCTTTGGTTTTAAATGTTTCACTCTGCTTTGTCCATGTATGAAAAGAAATATCTTCCTGTAATTCTACATGCAACGAGGACTAGCTCTTTCCCCCTAATGGAATGTAGCTCTGATTTCTCTATCATTAGCGGCTCTGTCTCTGGGATACTAATGTTTTGATGAGAGAGAAGAAAGGACCCTCTTCTGTTTGATTGTTTTCTTTTAAATTAAATGTAGTAATAAATCTAACTCAACCAAAATAACTGCTGAACATTTCATATTAACATAGCAGTGAGGATGAACTTGGGCAGTGCATGATAAATGTTTCCCTGTGCTTAGCTTGGAATGCCTCCAAACCCTTAAACTCCCACACCAATTTGGAAAAGCCTACCTGAGGTTTTTATATCCTTAGCCTGAAGATTCATTTTTCATTTACAAGATAGAGCCCATAAGTTTCAAGGACAACGTTGCTATACTTCTGTAGAAAGTACGCAGAGATAATGTTGGAATGAGGAACTATTTTTTAACCTAGTGAATATATTTTTGCCTTCCACAACCACCATGTGGGCACTTTTCTATGTTTTCTATAATTTAGTTATAATTCTATGAGCCTGCATTCTTTGGGGTCAGAAATGAAACAGTTGGCAACCTACTTACTAACCCTGTACCTACTACGTGGGGGACTAAGAACAGGTGTGACATCATTCTGACCCCCCCATCACCCCCTGCTGTCCTGTCAAAGAAGATGGTTCAGGAGATGCCACAATTTGACAGCCTCTTCCTGAGTTGGAACCGACACTAGAACGAACATTCTCTCTGCTTTCTTGTGCACAGGCCAGAGTAGTCAGGGAGGAGGTGAGGCCCGAACAGGTACATGAGATGTGGGTAGAATTTGCAAGAAGACCAAGTGATGACATGATGAGAATTCAATGAGTTGACAGACCTTTGTTGGAAATAATCATTACTTGTTGCATTCCAGTGTTTGCAGAGCCCCAGATGGTGCATGACACAGAGATCTTGTCTTCACAGAGCATGCAATTTAGTTGGGAGTAAAGCCAAGGGTGTCCAATTCAGACTTGAGGGTTCAGGTCTTCCTCAAGTCTCACGTTTGGTTTGCCGTGGACTCACCTGCCATGGGGAACTTGCCTGTGCTCTGTCTGTCTTTTGCCTGGAGTGCCTGCCTGTTTGCTAGATAATTCCTTCAGATCTCAGTGCAAACACTATTTTCTCAGGGACTCCTTCACTGACATCTCTGGACAGGTAAAAACCAACCTCCCATCATAATCCCTGTACTACCCTTTATGGTTGCCAATTTTTATTTATGGGCTTATTTAACTTTGTATCCCCTGTTAGGCTATGAAGTCCAAGAGGGCAGAAACTGCTGTCTGGCGTTGTTTAACCCTGTATCTCTAGTACCTAGCATCTCACTGCCCAGTACTTGGCACATAGTAGGGGCTCAAGAAATGTCTGGTGAATGATATTGCTGAAGCAACCAGGTGGGTTCCTTGTGGACACTGCTCACGGGTGGATTTGCCTCTTAGGATCCTCATACCCGCCCCTTCCCCCAGCGCCTTAGGGATCTCCTCTACTTGGTCCTCATCCTCCTGCCCTGGGCTCTTGCTGTGGGCTCCTAATGATGTTGCTGCCTGCAGCTTTGCCCTTTTTCATTTAAATAACTGCTCTGGCAGCCAGAGTAAGCCTCAGCAGTGCGAATCTGACCATGTCACAGAACACTAGAGGCTGAAGCATCCAAGGCCCGGGGCGATGTGGTGCTCTGCCACTGGGTCCCCCAGCTCCTCACCTGTCCCTTGACACCCTTCTGCACAGCCTCTGAGCTTCCTCAACTCTCTCAGATGTTCCATGCTTCTCTGACTTTGCATGTCTTTTCCCTCTAGGCTAGAATGCCTTTGCCTCCTGCATTCTATCTGGAAAATTCATACTCATTCTTCAAGACCCAGCCCAAACAGCTCCCTCTATTAAGACTTCTCCTGTCCACTACCTTTTTACCTGTGCCAGGTAGATAGCTCCACTTTTTGCCTGTATTATGCTGTACTGCAGTTATTTGTTTACATATCTCTCTCCCTTGCTGGACTGAGTTCCTCGAGGGCACAGGTCATGCCAGTCAGGTAATTATTCCCATTTTGCCTCCATCATTTAATACAGTGTCTGTCACATTTTATTTAAATTAATGAATGAAAGGAAATCTCTCTCATTGGTCTTACCCTCATCTTAAGAATTCACTAGTTTTGTTCAGGAGTGTTAGCTCCTCTCCTAAGTTAGAGCTCAAGCTTTTAGAGGCAGAAATAGGATCTTACATTCTCATGTAATCACTCTTGTGCTAATTCCATATAATAAGAACACACACAATTTTCTGATTGGTTGGACACTAGAAAGCTCTTTTAAACATATATTTGTTGTTGTTGTATATAAAACATTTTTTTGGGTTACAACAACATGGTAGAAAACTAGTTCAACCTCTGTGGAAAGCAATATGGAGATACCTTAAAGCGATACAAGTGAATCTACCATTTGATCCAGCAATCCTATTGCTGGGCATCTACCCAAATGATCCAATGACACTCTACAAAAAAAGACACCTGCACTGGAATGTTTATAGCAGCACAATTCATAATTGCAAGGCTGTGGAAACAGCCCAAGTGCCCATCAATCCAAGAATGGATTAATAAAATGTAGTATATGTATACCATGGAGTACTATTTAGCTCTAAGAAACAACGGTGATATAGCACATCTTATATTTTCCTGGTTAGAGCTGGAACCCATACTACTAAGTGAAGTATCCCAAGAATGGAAAAACAAGCACCAGATATATTCTCCAGCAAACTGGTATTAACTGAGTAGCACCTAAGTGGACACATAGGTACTACAGTAATAGGGTATTGGGCAGGTGGAGGGGGGCGGGTATATACATAATAGTGAGTGAGATGTGCACATCTGGGGGATGGTCATGATGGAGACTCAGACTTTTGGGGGGAGGGGGGAAATGGGCATTTATTGAAACCTTAAAATCTGTACCCCCATAATATGCCGAAAAAAAAACAAACCAAGAAATGTAATTTGTCACATAGTCTTATGGAAAATGTCATTTCAGCAATGTGTCTCCAATCTTTCTTTTGAGAGGCTGCTTCTATCATGTGAATGCACAAAATTCCAAATGAGTTTTTTGAAAGTTTTATTTGTGAACATATATATTCCCATGAATAAACTCTCATTCAAGTTCATAATTTTTTTTTCTAAAACCTGAATTAGAGTCTCAGTAACATATCGTTGTAATGAAAATTGAGATTTCATGTTTTAGAATTATGAATGGTTAAATAAGTTTGATAAAGGTACCTGTCATTGAGAATGCAGGAAAAAACTGAAAGAGTCATTAGACTTGGATTTGAGTTGAGGGAGGATTGTTGAAAATCATTTTGGCCAGCGGTTCCCAAATTGTGGTCCTCAGATCAGTGGCATCTACCTGTACCCATTGGGCACTGATCAGAATTATAAATGCTCGGATCGGGAACTCCGGGGCTGAGGCCCAGCAGTGTGAGTTTTTACACGCCTTCCATGCGATTCTGACGCACCCCGTGGTTCAAAAACCCTTGCTTCCATGGAATCACTTCCCCAACCCGGTGACTTTCCTTTCTTGGCAGGGGTCATTCAACCTCCCCTTGGCGTCTTCCCCATCTCACAATGAGGAAGCCCACCATGCTTTTGAGTAGATTTGGTTGGTAAAATATTCTGCTTGTCCACTTGTAACTTCTAGTCTCTGAGCTACGTAGTACTTTCTGGTGCTGTACGAGTGGAATGCAGTTCTCTTGCCTGACACAGCCTGTCGCCAGCATGTCCCTGCTCTGTGTTCTTCCTCATGGGAAACACGCCTACATGTGTCCCCCAGTCCATGTGAGATGTGTTTCCCGGTCTCTGCCCCCCCTCCCCTGCATGCATTTCTCCTTGTGGGGGTTGGGGATCCCCCTCGGCACCCCAGATTTGACCTGACCGGTGGGAACACGATCCATGTTCTATCCATATGAGTGAAGAGCACGTTGACTTTTTTTGTCTGCCATGACATATTGTTGGCTTATGTTGCTCTTTCAGTAAAACAAGAAAAGACACAGGAAAAGCCATTCCATGTTGCTTTTGCAAGGAGCTGCAATTGTTCTTTCGTGGGCTTTTGCCATCTGGTAGAGTTTGTGTTTTGGACCTGATGGGAACACTCTAAAGTTATCCCTTAGTGTGTTTGATATTGGTGTTTCTTGTTTGTTTGCTCCAGTCGATAGAGATCTTCTAGATCTTCATCTTGTTGTACAATGTACTGCATAGGGCCATTCATTTACTTGAGAATTGTGCTTCCTGTATTTTGGTTTTCAATAGAAATGTCCACCAAGACAGGACCATGAACTAAAGCTTTAGCATATCACCAGGGACTCAAATTGATCTTACTTTGTTAATTAAAAATCTTTGGCAGTTCAGTTATTATTACCTTTCTTATGGTTTTCCCCAACCAAGAAAAAATATTACAAGAGACTTTGTTAAATAGCTGATTGGAAGTAGGATGCCAAGTGTCTGAAGCATTCTACTGCTCTTCTACCCAATAATCTTGCCAGAGGGTCACAGTGGGGTTAATTTGCCAAGGCATGTTTGTAGTGACACCATGCTGGCTCCCAGCACTGGCTGCTTCCTTCTGAAAGTGTTTACAAGCTTACATTTAATAATTTATTTAAGAATTTTTTTCTGGAGATTGAGTTAAAGCCCTTTAGTTTATAGTTCTTAGCTATCACTCTTTCCCCTGTGTTTCCAATCCTTTGACACCTCTCCTATGCTCTTTTGTGTTAAAATACAATGATTCTGTGATCATATTCATAAATTCCTTTAATATTTTGAGTGTAGTCTATTTAGATATGGAGACTTGACTTTATTTAAATCAGCAGGTAATATTTCTTACTATTGTTATTTATTTTGACTTTTAATCCATTAAAGCATTTCTATTTTGCCTTTTCAATTTTAAGACCTTCCATGAGTGTTCAGAAACATATTTGTTCTACACATCACTTAACTCTACGGGGCCTGACCCACACTAGGTTCTTAATAAACATTTATAAACATGAAATGGATGAATGAAGGTTGAATCATGGGTGGGCTCTGCTTATGAGAGTTGCAGCCCAATGAGGACACCATTTCAGGTGTGGATCACTTGTAATTTGGTAGATATTCCCTTTGTCTCAAACATGCATTATTTATTTTATTCTGTATTTTTCATTTCTACTTTAAATTAGTTCACATAAAAATCCTGAAAATATCTTAAAATGCAAATTTTACTTTGAAACCCAGTTTACTTTCATGAGCAATAATGTTGAATGTTTATTTCAAGCAAGAATATCTTCATTAAATATACTCTCAAATCATACTCTTAAATCATGTTTTTCTTTATGGAATCTGGTTCTGTGACATGAAGAATTTACCAACCGGATCATAATATGCTTCTCATGATATGCCTCTAAGCTACTGGCAGTCAAAAAGAAAAGTGTTTCATATCAGCATGAAATCATACGCTCTGTCCCATCTGACAGAGCCTCATCCCTCCCTCAAATGAATGGTAACGGCATTGGTTTTCATAGATCAAGAATGTCACTTCAATTCAAAGTAATTTACAATGATACTTTGTTTTTTATTAGCACCTGCATCCTCAAACCACGGGCAAAATGGATAACACAGGCATCACAGGTTGACATTCAAGAGAACTTAGAAGATTTCAAGATTTGCACCTAAAAAAAAAACACCAAAAACTGGAATAGTCAGATGAAATAAAAAAGAATTATAAATGTTATTGAAGTTTCAGCTGTTGAGAGTGCCTGTGGGTGGGGTGGGTGGTTTGGAGACTCATCCATGCTGAGTCCTATGAAGTACTGACCAGGGGATCTCTTTAGGATGTTTTCTTACCTTAGCACCTTAAAAAGAATCCCTTTGCTTTCAAAGTATCGCCCCGCCCCTATGGTCCTGGCCAATGGAAGAGGAGCTGCGTTTCGGGCAAGGTGAGTGGTCACCCTGGCCCCATCTGGAGACGGGAGGTGGAGAGGGCCAGCCCGTGGGGAGGGAAAGGAGGCGGCGAGAACACGGCCACAGACTCTGAATTTTATGCCGATATAAGAGGGTGAGAGGGAAAGGCAGTTGGGAAGAAGGAAGGGAATAAATTAGGTGGAATGGCTCAGGTTTGACAGAGGCAGTTCTAGGCTCTAGTGGCTGGAGAAAGTTAGTGGCTGAGTGTTTGCACGGAGACAGGTCCCGTTGTCTTGCTGCCACTCCTAGAAATCAACCCATTTATGGCAGGCAGAGGTGGGGAGGCAGCGGAGGCACTCGAAGGGTCAGGGAAAGCAGGTCAGTGTTCCTGCAACTTGATTAGCGACTTTTTTGCTTGATGTGGGGTTTCACCTGAGCAGAAATTAAGCCCCACGGGTGTTGGAGAGAATGGCTTCCTTTAGGGCAAGCTGGACAGGACCCACAGGTGACCTGGGTTCCCAATGGCGAAGGTGAACTGCTCACTGGGATTTGCACTACGCAGCTGCTCTGAATTTCCCCACTGCCGCATGTGGTCTCCACGGTCTTGCTTTTCCTAGCCTGGCCTGGCCGTGCGTGCTCTTTCTGCTTCGGAACACCCTCCGCTACAGTGGCGAGGGCCCCAGTAGGGGACCCGCCTCCCCCTCACTGGGAGCCGGTGTGCTTGGGGGTCAGGGAAGCCAGCACTGTCCCAGCTGCAGTTATTCTGCTTCCAGTTCAGTCCCTCTAGGTTCAAATCCAAGTCTGAACCTTAAAGAATTGGCTCTTCTGGAAGCATTTCTTCAGGCATGGGAAGAAAAATGTACATTAATGCAATTAAAGAGGTATCTATTACTTTTTTCCTATTTTTTTTATTGTTATATTGATTTAGTTTTTATATATTATTACTTTTTACTGCCCCAATGAAAAGAATATTTCCACTGTCTGCATATCTTTTCTGGCTAGCGTTATTGTGTGTTTCTTGTTTTGTCATGTAGAGGAGGGAAGTATTAAAAAATGATCCCTTGTGCTCGTTAAACACCTTGGGTTGGCTCCTGGCTTCAGCAGCAATATCGTGAGCAGAGGCTTATGGTGAGGAGTGTTTAGAAGGTCTGAGTGATGGATTTGTTAATCATTTCTTCCTTTTCTGAATCGTCGACATGTGGGTGCTGGAGACAGAATTGCACACAAGGTGCAAGGTGTGCTTTTGGTCACGGTAAACTCCAGATGGGGTCCCGGTCTAGCCTACCATTTGTCTGTCTCTGCGTGGGTGGAGGTGGAGCCCCAGTCACCCAGGCGCAGGTGACCGAAACGCTGCCCGCCTCCATCTCTAACCATCTGGAGTGGGCTTTTCCGCTTCCTGCAGACATTTCCGATTTCCCAGCTCGCCTTTTGCTTGCCCAGCCCCTGGCTGGGCCAACTTTCAGGAGCAGCACGAGGCCTCTGAGAAGGAGCAGCTGAATGGGAACAAGTGGGATCTACCTGGGAGAAGTTGTGGGCGAGGGCAAAGGCAGGTGCAAATTGTCAAAAATTCTGATGTTCTGTGGAAACACCAGGATTTGACAAGTCCCCCAAAAGTTACACATGCTAAAAAGATGTAAATTGCAATATCGTAAGATGCAGCTTCCTTGCATGCAATTTTAGGCAGTTTCCTGAAGGTGTTCAGATAGGAAAACCGTGTGAGCGATTCGGCTCGAGTGCAACAGGGAAGGCCGCGCTCAGAGTGCTTTCTCTGCCGCACCCGCGTCCAAACATAATCATTTGCTGTTTTTCTACTCAGCCCAAATGACTTAATTGGAAATATGTATCATGAAGAGGAAATATCTGGTATCATTCATGCTCCGTGGTGAGCCCAGTTAACCTAGATTTGTGAAAATAGCATGAAGCTCGAGTATGAAGCTCGAGTGCGGAAATCACGAGTTTAAATTTTCCAGATGACTGATGACGGCACTAGCCTAGCAAATCTGTCACGATGAACGTTATATATTGCCACACTTTGCGGAGCAGGGATTTATATTGCGGCCAATGGCACAACAAATGGGTTCTGGGGACCGTGGCAGGCAAGAACTCCCGATACCCAGCCCCTCCTCAGTGTCTCCCCTGTGCTTTCTTAACGCCTCCCTCAGGGCGTCTTGGAGAAATGGACCCTGTGGTCTTAATAGTCCGAAATGTGCTTGGAGATACTCAAGTCCTATTACTCAAGTGACATGCACGTCAAAGGGCATTGATAAAATCTTTATGTGCTGGGTAGTAGTAAGACACCAAAGTGCTCCTTAGTGTAGACAAGGCTCAGTGCACAAAACCACCGGTCGAGTCTGGGTGTGGGTTTGAGACTCTGAACCAATTCATCTCATCTTTTCAGGCTTCCTTTTTCACATCTGGACAGGATCCTTCCAGTGTCCCTGGGCTCTGAATTCCATGATCCTGTGACTTCTTGGCTCCCGGAAGGAGGAGGTGTCGTGCAGACCTACTCTCTTCCAGGCTAGGGATCTGTCTCGGGAGGGTGTCCGTTCGCCGTCTTTCTCCTCCACTAAACCGGACGCCGCCTGAGGGCGGGCACTGCGCTCCAACGCCAGTGCGTCTCTGGCATCTAACAGACAGGGCCTCAATAATAACGTAAAAATTGCCTCTTTTCATTTATTGTTGGCGACACGTAATAGTTGCACTCGTTTATGGAATACAGAGTGAGGTTTCCGTATGCGTGCAACGCGGAGAGTCAGGTCGTGGTAATTAGCACATCCATCACCACAAACGTTCACCCTTTCTTTGTGCTGTGGACATTCAAAATCCACTCTTCTAGCTTTTTGGGCATTTATGATAAAGTCAATAAGCCATTGTTGAATGAATGAATAAACCGCTCATAATTGAAGGCAGGGACAGTCTTTTAAGAAAAGCCTCATGGGATGATGTGGCCGTGCTTCTTTTTTTCTGGCTAGAAAATGGTTTTACTTGTTCTCCTTTGAAAGATGGACTTTTACTGGCCGAAGACTTAGATCCAAAGAGAATATTAATCTGAAAGTAACAAAGTGTGAGTTTTACGGGCGCTGGACCACTCAGGGCCCAGCTGTTTCTTTTTAATGGGGACGGCCTTTTCCTCACTCCCCGAGCTCTGCCAGAGGGCTTCGTGCTCTCCAGCATCCTCCAGCAAAAAGGCCTTTCTTTGTTGTTTGCTCCTCACTTTGGAATAGGTTGAGTTTTATTTAAAAGAAGTAAAGCGCCCATAAGGTTTTAATGGCGGCCCGAGCAGAGACTTTATCATTCTTTGTTGAAATCTGCAACCCCCATAGAAGCCTAGTTAAGACGCCTCTCTGTTGGCTTTTCTGGTTGTCCCAAAGCATCTTGCCTGCCTCGTGTGGATTTCTGTCACCCCCGTGGGCGCAGTGCCTGTCCTCTGTGACTCATCCCAGACGGGTCTCAGGTAGGTCCCGTCCATTCTGCAGGACTCCCACCTCTCCAGGGCGGAGGCTGGCTGGCTGCATTAGTTTCATGTACCTTCTGTTAACAGCCCTTTGCACGCCCCTTTCCCACGCTGGCCGCTAATCGTGACTTGCTGAATGTCTGACCGAGGGGTTTCTAGGGAGGCTGAGAGATGGAGTCAGTCATATTCCATTATGCCAGGTAAGTCATAGAATCTCAGAGCTGGCAGAGATCTTGAGCAGTGATATAATCCAAGTTGATCATCTCATATTCTAGCTTCATCTCTTAGCATGTCTTCTCTGAACGGTGGAATTCCAGGACTTCAGCATGTCTGCAGACCAGAGAGATTTTCAACAGCACCGAGAGTTGCTGTTGCACATGCCTTTTGGAGTCTGTTTCCGCGGCATGGAAAGTAGCGGGGGAGGCTTAGTCAATGAGGATCGTTTAAATGCAGAGAGATTTGTGTATCAGCTTTATAGCGGTGTAGCCCCGTTCCTCTGCTCCCTCAACTCCTACACTTAGCATTTTCCTTTACCGTTGTTTGGTCTCCCGTGTCAAATAAAGCACCTTTTATATTTAGCACAATAGGCCTAGTGTCAAGTTTGTGTAGTCCAAAGTGCTGTACAAACATTAACCCATCCGCCTCCCCCTGACCCCGCGTTGCCTGCCCCTGTTTAAACACTGCAGTTATCCTAGATAACCACCCTGCGCAGTAGCTAGGAAAATTACAGAAAGCACAGGAGAGTTTAAATAGCTGTTAGGGTGTGTTGCATACTGATGTTTCCCCCAGTGTTAAAGGTCTTAAATCCTGATTGTTTATAGTTCAAAAGTCTTCCGGAGAGATGATTAAGGGCAAAATGCATAGACTAGGAAGTGGCTGAATGCCTCCTCGTAGGAGATGAGGGCTTTTGATGATGGACTGTCTCAAATATTTCAAAATAGTGATATCCAAGGATTTTATTACCAAAGTAGAATTAGGCAACAAATTCTTGAGACTCTCCGTAAATCAAACATTACCCCCCCACAACAAAATAAAAATATCTGGCTGAGTTTTGGGGAGTGAAGACATTAATTTGCCTGAATGACATGTTGACTGCAGCTCGTTCTCAGGAGACTGTTTTTCTCCCCTTCCATCCGAGAGGTCCAGTCACCCCCCTTGCTGCCTCTGGAATTTGTAGTACATTGTAAAAGGTCCGTTCCAATTCCGTCACGAGGAATGGAATTTGAGGAGTTCACAGTTATTTTAGCTCTCTGAACTTACAAAAAAACATTTTTATAAGAGAACTTATTCTATCATCAGAAGAATTTTTTAAAAATTCAAAAATTG